GTCCGCTGAGCTTGCTGGTCCGGGCTGGGCTATAGTTGTAGGTGCCGCAACTATATGTTCTAGAACATGTTATACATAAAACCTGGTATTTACCTCAGAAGAACTAAATGTTCAGGCTCAGGGTACTCTGCTGACTGTGACGTCAACTTTTTTCTACAGGGTTGTGGATCAAGTCATTCCAGATTTGTTTCCAACTAGTCTGAGTTAATTGGTACCTCAGAACCAGGCATAGGTACAACTAGAATTTCCTCTCCCTTGTATCTTCCAACAAACAGAATTAAGAGGCAGGGTAGAGAGCTCACCTTAAGAAGACAGGCTATATTTTGCTGACCTACAGCAACTCCCCTATCTGTCCCACCCCTATCTGTTTCTTCATACCTGTCAGTTGCCTCTTAGATGGTAAACTGTTGTGGAGGGAGGACTGCCTGTTTGATCTGCTTATACTGTACGTAGCACCACGAGGTCCCAGTCTATGACAGGAGCACTACCATGGTAGTAGATTTCTGTACTCAGTAGGCTTCTCTGAAGGAACAGTAGCCACCTGTGCTGCCCTCAGTAGCATCTCAATCACAGGGGGGACAAGGATAACTTTGCCAGGTCTTACTACACTGAAAAACTCAATTATTGTTTGTTTAATCTTATCCCAACAGAATCACCCTCCACCCCTTGTCCAGGGAAGCATTTTCATTTTCCTTTAGGGGAAAGACAGGACAGGGGATAGGCGCTGCATCATTTTACTTCATTCAGAAGGTTATGGTCCTTATTAAAGGCAGATATATGACCTCCAAGTATCTCTCATTTTAAGACAACACATTTAACCAATCTTGTATGATCCATTGGCAGAAGGGGAAGTCTGACAGGACCCTCCACCAGAGGGACTAGAGGAAAATGTGACCTGCTGCTAAATGTAAAGGACAAAGAACTCAGAGGTGGTAAAAACAACTCTATGATCCAGGTGGTAAAGAACTCTATGATCCAAATTCTTACTCACCACAGAGTGAGGGTATTACATTCACCACTATGAGGAGGGGATGGGCTGCAGGTGGGGGAGGGGAGGCAGCAATATCTTGCCTGATGGAGCTCTCCTGGCTTGTTGCTGGGAAACAGGCAGCAGTGCAGGCTCCTGGTCCTGGGGCCCCTCTTGGTGCTCCAGTCTCTCCACCTATCCTGCCAGGTACAGGGCTGTGCCTTCTGTGACAGCCTCCCAGGGAGTGCCATTTCACTACTGGGTATGGGGTCTACACCTGCCCAGCTCCTATGGCAGGGTAGCACAGAGATGCACCTGCCATGCCAAAGACTTTTCAGGGGAGGGGTCCATAGTGGCACCCCCTTTAAGTCAGGACCCAGGGTTGGTGTCCTGTTCTCCCCACAACCCCAAGTTACATTACTAGGAGGCAGTGTTCCAGCCTTCAAAGCAGAAGTGGGGAGAACAAGATTAATAATGGCTATTCCTAGCTCTGCCACCGACTCACTTTGGGACCTTGGACAACTCAACCACTGTAATTCAAGTTTCTCCATCTCTAAGATAGGTAGAATAAAAAAATTGCCCACACTGGAAGGATTCCAGCAGGATAACAGTGCTATTATGTCTTGGGAAGATATCTGATAATGGCACAAGATCCTTCTCTTTCTTAAATGGCAACATTGTAAAAGTTAGCATTTGCAAATGATCCTCTTTTAAAGTATCATCAACATTGTTGTGATTTGTCACTTGCAAAGTAAGAAAGAAACTTCTGTTGCTGCATGCAAGATGTCCTTTCACATACCTGACATGGCTTTTGCTTGTATAGGAAAACTGCCTTAGATCGCTATAGCCTTGAGAAAGCTGGCTTCACCCACATCCTCAACGCAGCCCATGGGCGGTGGAACGTGGACACTGGACCAGAGTACTACAGAGACATGGCCATCGAGTACCATGGGGTAGAAGCAGATGATCTCCCCAGCTTCAATCTCAGCCCATTCTTCTATTCAGCTGCTGAATTCATCAATAATGCACTCCAGGATGAGAAAAGTAAGGATGCAGCAATGGGCAAAAATGCCAGGTTTGCTACAAATGATCTGAATAGGCATGCATGTGATGCAAAGTACTGGACAGCCAGGGAATGAAACAGGCGTAGAAATCAAGGGCAATTGGCACAGGACAAACAAACACTAATGAAGTTACAGTTTCAAGGAAGTTATTGTTAGTAACGGGATTCAGATTCTTCTAGTGCTGTGCCACTCATTCAGACATAACCAGAGCTGGTAGCCACCCCTGAGTCCTTGCCCTCCCAAGACCAATTTAACAGAGTGCCACTGCCTTATCACAAGCAGGATGCATTTCCACTATTTGAACAGAGTCTGAAGGAAAGTGAGTGGGCCACTGAACAGGTCACTGAACTCAACCTAGAGGTGAACCCTATTAAGTCAGGCTTGTGGAGCATTAGAGGGGAGCCTCAGGAAGCTGGCACTGCTACCACCAATGCTATCCCTGCCCTGTAGGTCCAGGACTCCAGTCTCCAAAGCTGTCACTTCACAGTTGTTCACATTAAAGTGTTAGATTTCCTCCATATAAATATAAAAGCCTCCTTAAGTACCTTGCCATCAGATCATCTTCAAGCTTTAACAGGGATTTATTTTTGCCATCTTCCAAGCAGTGGGAGACTGAAATCACTTTGACAGCCAAGATCGGGAAACATTAGTTAAAGCCTTTGTCATTTCCCAGCTTGATTACTACAATTCATTATTTGTGACCTCCAGCAGCGTTCTATCTGAGGGCTTTACACTGACACTAAGCACCACAGCCCAGACCGCACACTGGCTTTCAGCATATTACTCCTGTTCTTATTTAAGAGAAAAAAAAAAGAGAGAGAATCTCAACAGGATATTTTACCAGGAGCCAACAGCGAAACTTAAGATTCTCCTGCTGACCTACAAAGCCCCAAATATCAGAGGGTCACATATCAAGTTACTAACCTCCTGTCAGCTTCTCTTCTTGGCGGTTAGCTTAGCTACTGCTGGATCCCTGGCTTACCCCCAGTAACCAGCCAAGCCTTTATGATTTTAAGCTTTCAACAAGAACAGTCCAAAGCTGTAGAACATACCTCTGGTTAGGCAAGAAGAGGATAAACCAGCTCAGTTTTAAAACCAGAGGTCTCGTAACACACAAGGCCTTAACAGTTTACATTCTTGGAAGGACCCTAAGTCTATTTCTGGAGGCAACCATCTAAAATTTGCAAGACTATGCCCCAATCACTGCTTCTGGGACAACACGGTGGGGAAACAGTTGCACCTTCTGGATAGCTGAAAGCATTTGACCATTTCTTTACTGCCTCCCTAGAGATATTGTTGGACCAAAGTAACGGAACTAAGAAACCCACTACTCCTCCACCCCTTCAGTTACACTCCTTCTGGCAGCATGGGGTCAGACTATTAAATACACATTAAGGTGTTATACACTGCAAAGTGCAGAGATCGTTCTCATACTGATAAACATTGCCAGGAAAGGGAGCTGGCATTATGTGAAGTCTGCAAGGTGCGAGCTTTAAAGCTTTTGATTTCTGGGCTGCATCAAAATGCCAAGGAGCTTTGAGGCTTGACCAAACATCCATATAGTAATGCAACAGCCT